TTTCTTGGTATACAATTATAGTGTTTTGCAAATATGATATATAAAAATTCTGAGATTTTTTTGAAATGAGAGATACTCTTTCACAAGATATTTGAATGTAAATGATTTACAAATATTCCAAAAATTTAGGAATTATCTTCAAAATCTAGAAATTGAAAAACCAATACAAAAGAAAAGATACATGTTGTTTAAATTAAGTAAAGGATGAAAATTTAATCAATTTAAGTACAGAAAATTCACAGGAATATTTTTGAAGAAATAATATATAAAGATATGCCATAAAAATCATTTTAATTTAGAGATTTCACAAAACTAGAAAAGTTCTCCCAGAATTTAAGATAAAGATATCATCTTGGAAGTATAACACTATCATAATAAAAATTTTATAAACTCTCACTATCTTTCTTTTCCCAGTTATGTATATATACATTTATTTAATGATTTATATCAGCTCAGCAACATTTTAATGATATTAAATTTATTTAATAATATAATTATTTTATTTAATAAAAATAATAAATAATGTATTAGTGTAATTTTTTTATAATCATTTTTATCATAAACTATTTTAAAAAACTGTAATAGTGATAGATACCATATTGCCGTTATGACTGTTAATTTATGTACAGTACACTAAGAATAAATTGTTGACTTCATTGTATAATTTTTCCAAAAATTAAAGTTCTTGGTGTATATTTTACATTCCAATATATGAAATTATAATTTACATCATTAGCTTTGTGTAGTTACTTTATCAATTTTTTATAATAATCATACAGGTTTTTTAAACTTAATGAAAATATATAAAATAAATTTGATATATTTTAATCAGTTTTTAATATTAAGAATTTCTTGTTTTATTAAATAAATTAAATCATTGTAGCCATTTTAAAGTCAGAAATAATCTTATATTTTATATTATATTGATAAAAATAAACACACAATTACTGATATTGTTTGGAGCAATTAGGAAAAATTTTATATCATTTTTTAAAATTGCAAAGAAGTCATAGTATCCAACTATTTAAATGTAGTAGTATTATTATAACTATTCTGAAAAGTTACAAAAAAATTTTGATATTTTTCATTCTGTAGAATATGAAATATTAAAATATATATTGGTAATTTATCTATATTGAATTTTATGCTTAGGTCAGTCATTAGGTTTTCACAAATTTTTTTTAATAATTAACTTTATCAAATACAGTGGGTGATCGGTTAACAAATATAATCCGTTCCAAGACTTTGTTTGCTATCCAAATTGTTTGTTAACTGATTATTGATTTACCATAGGTTTCTATGGGAATTTGATTAATTCGTTCTGGAGACCCTTCAAAAATAAAAAAGTATGTACTTTCTTACTATGTTTATTCATATGTAATAATAAAAATACATATATACACGGTCTTGCATTTTTATTAGTCATGTTTTTTCTGTTTGTGGGGTTAAAGAATCTGTCCAATGTCGATTGCTTTTCTGCCTTATTCATGATTTTTCAGAAGTAATTAATAGCATTGTAATTGTAGAGATCCCTAGGTCTATTAACCTCAACTTGGTTTGGATGCCATTTTAAGACCGTTGTTCTGACATCCTCCCACTTCTTCAAAAGATCTTTAATACCAGATATTGGCATAAATCTGCATTTTCAGAAGAAAACGTAAAATAATTGTTTCTGTCAGAAATACAAAAGGCTGGAATTACAAGGGAGAGTTTCAAAGTTTGGGGAATACTATCTGATTGGTATATACTGGGTAGAACGTTGATGTCGACGTCTCCTGCGCTCTGAAAAGTTTCAAATTGTTGCCTGAAGACAAAGGAAGACCAATCGGTATTCATTGTTTTACATCGCTTCTTGTGTTTATTCAGTGAAGTGTTTGTTATCCGAACATGTATTTGTTGTCCGATTATAAAAATCTTTTGCGAAAGTGTTCGTTATCCAATTTGTTCATTAACTGATCTGTTCGTTAACCGATCACCCACTGTAATTCTAAAATACAAAATATTTAAAACTAAAAAAAATCATAAAATGCTTTATTGAATTTTCATATAAGAATATTTAAGGCTTATTATATATTTAAAGTACAGTCAAACTTTGTTAATTTGAGTTTTACAAATTTTTCTTGAGTTTGCTATTAATGTACAGTATAAATTACCTGTTCAGTTCAATTTTTTTCTAATTTTTGGATAATTTGTAGCTGAAGTAACCTCATATTTCAAAAATTACTAGTTTGGAAATTTAAAACTGGATAGCTTAGTTCACATTCAGTGAATAGTGAAAAGCCAATACAGAAAGCAGAAAATGAATTCAAAACTGGTAAAAAATGAACCAGTTTTGAATTCATTTTCTGCTTTCTGTATTGAATTCATTCTCTGCTTTCTGTATTCATTTTAACATTTGTCGAGTGAAATGTTTAAAAGATATGAATTGCAAGAATATTATATTAATTTTGACATCATCTCTATGGTGTGATGATTTTGTAACCATCTTAAAAATTACTAGAAACATCTGACAACAAATGGTACTGTGATAGGTGATGAAATTTTTTCACTAGAGAAAAAGTTTGACAGTTCTGAACTTCTAAGCAATTTGTGAAATGGTAAAATTTGTTGGAAACAATGTGTTGTTCACCCTGTTTTCCACTTTCACCAGCAATTTGCTCTGTGTTAATTAAGCTGTACTATGTAATAATTATTTTGAATTAACCAAGTTTGACTATGTGTATATATTATGTTTTAAGCACAATGTATTTCTCAGTTGCATGAAAATGCTATGAAGTCTTAGTCTATTTCATAAATATGCTTTTATGTAAATTTCAATTAATTTTTTTTGTCTTTTATTAGTGTTCTTATATACATTTAATATCCAAAGTTTTAAAGATGTTTCAGTTGTGGTATAATTTAGAATGTTTAACAGATATATTACCTATATATGAGAGGTCCAGAGAAGGACTGTACTTGTCTGGAAGCAAAGAATTGTTCGAAATCTGGGTAACATAACCAGCAATATTAATAAGCAATATTACTTATAACTAATATTGCTTGAAAAACACTTAAAATATTTACTGCACAAGAAAACTCTATTAAAGCATTTTTGGATTTTTTTAACCAATACATGTTTATATTACTTACTAACTGCAAATTCTTGCTAATAATTACTGAAAGGACACTTACTGGTTTATTTTTACCAACATTTTCATATTTTATATTTGTTTAACTACAGAGAAATATTTCATATTGATATAAAATAATGTATGAATTTTCACTTTTGCAAAATTTCAAATTTAAGATTTAACAAAGAATTTTGTAAGCTTTCAGATATCTTTACATTACTGTTTTAAATCTCATGTATTGGAATTTTAAGTTTTTTGTATAAATTATACAAAATATACACAAGTTTATTTGAAGATAAAATAAATTTATTTTTTAGTTTTTAATATTTTTTGGTTTTTATTCACAGCATATATATATATTTTTTATTTCCAGCAATGTAATAGATGTTTCTGCAATGAGCACCCATCATTTAGAACAGCATGAATATTTAGATAGGGCGCATTTATATAAACAAAGAATGAATAATGCTGCTCAATATTTTGATCGTTCTTGCTTGAAAAACAGCTTATTAACTGATTTACCAGATCCTGAAGATTTATTGTCAAAAGAGCCACCATTACCAAATGATTTGAGATTGGTAAGAAATAATAATAAGTTTCATTTAATTTTTAATATAGTATATAAATAATTTTTGTAATATTTCTAAAAATATTGTATTAAGCTTTTTGATTGAAAATTATTTGATGTTTACTACAAAGATATGTTGTCTTTATTTTAAAATATGTAATTATCGAGAAGCATCATTTATTTAATTTTAAAGGACTTTGTATTTTTATTATTGATAAGAATTATTTTTATTGAATTAGTAGATGTTATTTACTTTATTTCAAAATCAGAAAGTAAAAATCTTCATTTGAAATTTTGTTTTAAATGTTCTGTATTTATCTAATAAAAATGAAAGCACAGAAAAATTTCTAAAACAATTTCAAGTTGTTTTTAAAAAATTCTTAATACTTTTTAAATTAGTTGTATTTTGCTATTACATTTTACTCAAACAAATATTATTTACATAGATTTCTACTTTCAGCACTATCTTATTTAGATTCAATTACTAAGAACTTTATTGATTTTCAGTTTCTCATGAGAAATAATTACACATTCCATAAAGGAAAAGATTTTATTGAAAGAAGTGTTAAGCAGTTAATTTATATTTTAAAATAATCGTACATTGGATTATAAAACAAATGTTTTACAAAATGTTTGTCTAGTTATATGTACAAAAATTAAATTTTGATCATTCCAAATTTCATAAATACTTCCAAAAATATACTGTATTTGTTGGTTATAAGATATATTTTTCCCCTTATAAACTTCTTTAAAAATATTGTCCTGCATCTTAGAAACCAAAAGCAGCAATACAACACATGCAGAGAATCAAGAAATCAGCAAATTACATGTAGTTAGTGGATAGTTTTTATTATGATCATGGTTGGCACACTTTTCAGTAATTACCAGGCTGTTGTTAGAGTAACAAGTGAATTCCAGTAATATATTTAAGCCAAAATCAACTAATATTGAAATTATACCACATTTATCTAAGAAAATTTATCTAAACAAAGTAATAATTTAGTTTAAAAAATCTGAAACAAACAAATAAAAAAAATTTATATCAAATCTTAATTATATGGTTGAATAATTTGTATAATAGAGATAATAATAATATGAGATGGCATCTAATGCTTATCTCTAGTAACAAATTACATAGAATTTAATTATTAATAGTAGCAGAAAAATAGCCCAATTGATTACAACAATTATTTAGGTTTAGTCTACATCTCTTTCCAAATTGCCATAAAAATTTAAACACACATAACCCACGAATTATATGGATTTATTAGGGTGGATCAAATGAAAACAGAACAGTGGCCATTATTTATTTTCATATGTAATCACCAAAATTACACAAGCACTTGTCCCAATATGCACAAGTGGTGAATACCTCATTTGTAGAAAGAGTTTGGCTGAGATTGAAACCAGTTTTGAACAGTGTCCATGACTTTGCTGTTCGATTGAAAATGTTGACAATCACATACACAGAACCAATTTACGGTGTGGTATGATCGACTAACAAGTACAAAAACAAATGTTTTCGAACCCCTTCTGGGCTCTTCATCAGGTTCCTATAGTTTTAGCTCGTAAATTTTGAAAATGTTGACCCCCCCCACAATGCATTTTTTAGCGGGCCAAAGATGTGAAAGTCACATGATGAAAAGTCAGGTCTGTATGGTGAGTGTTCCAACACACTCCTCCAAAACTTCTCAAGCATGCTCAGTGTGCGAGTGGCCATATGTGGCCATGCATTGTCGTGGAACAAAGGCACTCCAGAGGACAATGAAAACAGTGTATGGAGAACACTGTTTTCATTGTCCTCTGCACTTCATGAACTCCAATACCCTCTGCCACTAAAAAATAAATAATACCACGTTGCTTTTCTGTAGTTGCAAACATGATGCAGACTGATTGCTTGCCAGACGACACTCCTGGCCAACCACCAGCTCATACCATGTGGTTGTGTGCACTTACCAAGAGTGAGTTTATTCCTCAATAGGGTTTCTCCTCTTTCACCTCTCACTCTACATATACACACAGTTTTGTTACACTCGCATACACATACACCGAATTATGACCATTGTTCTATTTTCATTTAATCTACCCTTATAAATATGGTACTATTAAGTAATAATAATTATTAAAAGCAGTAAGATATCAATAAAACCAGGATTTCTACTATTTATAAACTTATTTACTTACTACCATTTAATGATATTAATCAATTCTTATCAACATAGCAGTGGCATGTGGTGACGTTTGATGATAGGGAAGCTGTGTTTCTGTAAAAATTATAAACAAATACTGGAAATGACAAAAATAAAGATTTTATTTATTTTAATTCTAAAATAGATACATTGGCATGAAACAAAGATATAAGAACTTGTTTATGAAAATAATCGCACAATATGTATTTATATTTTAGAAAATACAAGGGGAGCAATGCTTCCACAGTTTTCATGGACTGCATGTAGGATGACCATTACCCAATGCCTAAGAAAGAGAACACTGTTGGGGGAGTAACCCCCATGCACCATGTTGATCCCCTCGTGCTTTCCATTTTTTATATATACATGTATAAATAAAAAACTAAAAAATAAATTTGTCGATGCCTATGGGATTGTCAAGCAAGCTGGGAAAGACACAGGTGTCGGCACTCAGTGGAAACAACTTGCAAAGAAAATGTAGGGAGTCAGCAAAAGTCTGCTTTCAAATTTTAATAACTCCAATATCCTTCACCTCGCCAGCTGCACATGCAGCTTCTGTCCAGTTAAAAGGAGAATTCTGCTGAAGTCTGAAGATGATTGGTTAGACCTTTCATCTCTGCTGTGCCCTCATCAAATAAACATTTGTGACCATATGTAAACACTTGTGAAGTTCTTTGGGCATTTTCTTTGTTAAGAGGCCAAAGTGCCACTAGGTCAAAGTGGTGTGGGTCATCTGGAAACATTAACCAGTTTCCTCAATTTATTTGAAGTGAACTATTTTTGTACACATTTTTCATCACATCTTAAAAGGAGGACAAATCAATGTCTGTCACAAGGTGATGCCAGATGGAGGACAGAGTAGTCAAATGCCTGACAATCCGGAAAAACGCCGGACATCTGGCCACCCTAACTTCAAACTACTGCAACATATGTGAATCTTAAAGTAGTTCCAATAAACAGATTCAACTTTAATAGATTTAAAATCTATAGAAATAACTTTAGACTAAAAATTTCAAAATTAGCATAATTTTATCTAATCAATAAATTTATATTAAATTGTAACAAGACAAAGTTAATGCAAAAGTTGTAAGAGGTTCAAATATTCATATAATAATCAAATATTCTGAGCTAGATGAAATTCACAGAATGATAGAGACTGGTCACTTTTGAAATATAAATGTAAATAATTGAAGCTTATGACTAAAATAATATATTTTCAACAAAAATTATACATGAAAATATCCAAAATAGTTCCATTAGAACAATGATTGTAAAAGCCTGAAGATGGCCTATCCAAATAGGCTGAAAACGTTCGGAATAAAAAAAAAACTCAGCAAATATAAATCAGGTGTGTTTATTAGTATAAGTAACTAATATTGCTGAGAAGAAGATAGATACATGAAAATATCATTTTTTATTAATATATTATATACACTAGACTCTTACTAATAGTCATTTATTATACAGAGAGGTGCCAGATTATTGAGAATGTGTAAGCCTAAAGTGTGCTTGAAGGCAATGAATGATATTCCCTGTTTTCTTTTGGTACTTTTTTTTTTTAAGCAGGCAGATAATGTGGCATATGTGGTCAATACTGTGTGCCATATATGTGATACACAGTATTGCACATACAAATGAAACCTAAGTAAATAAAAAAACAGGATTTGTTACATGACTAGTGTTTTCATAGAAACAGAAATGCATAGGTGATAACAATGGAGTTATGATGGATAATTGAGAGGCCAGATTATTAAGGGCTGGATTAGCAAAAGTGTACTTTATTTAATTTATTGACATAAGAAATTTATTGA